GCAGGCGGCAGCGACTCCCAACAGCCCCAGCCGGGAAGGGAAAGGCAAAAAGCGCTTTGCCTTTCCCTTCCCGAGGCGACGTGAGATAGTGAGATCGTTTCCCAAATTAATTATTTTTATTTTTGAAATTTACCAGTAGCTGCTGCATTTCCCACCCTCGGCTTATACTCGAGTCAATCAGTTTTCCCAGGTTTTTTTGTGTAAAATTAGGTGCCTCGGCTTATATTCGGGTCGACTTATACTCGAGTATATACGGTAACCAGATTCATGTAGTCAGGCTTTGCCAAGTTGCCAAGTAATCTACTGGAAATATATATAATTTTCCACTTAAAATGATAAAATACAGCAAAACAATTATGATTTGTAAATATAATAGTGTCCCATTTAGATCAATTCTTAAAGTCTTTAACATTTTTAACTGAAAGTTTAACAATTCATACCACAGTCCAACTCACCTCACAGGGTTGTTGTTGTCAGAAAAATAGAAGAGGAAGGTGTGTTGAATATGTTTGCTACCTTGAGTTATTTATAAAAGTAATAAAGGCAGGAAATAAATAAAATAAAATTATTGGAGATTGACTAATATGTACCTACAATATTTTTGTATGAAAACCAAATGCTAGATTATATGGACATGTTTTTATAATAATTTTATGAGTTTATAATGTAGCATTCAAAGAAAATAGAAAAGCACATACTAGGAAAAATAGGGAAGGAAAAAGGGAAAAGTGGGGGAAACAAACGGGGAAAAAGAAAAGGCATTGACTTCCGACTTCTTCCTGTGCAGTAAAATAAGGCATTAACATCAAACCTCAACTTTTTACTTTTACATAATAAACTAGCCATTTCTGTAACAACAAATCTATCTAATTGGTAAAACCCAAAATCAAAGTTTCAATTGTTTTCCACCCTCAAGCACAAAGTCTAGAATCGGTTTCCAAGTAGAAATAAAAGTATTTGTATTTTTTTCTCAATTTAGCCATCTAGGCTAACTCCATGAATTTTTTCAGCCAGTCATCCACTGTGGGGGTCAAGGTGACCTTCCATTTCTGTGCGAAGAGTAGTTTTTCTGCCATCAACATGTATAATATCAAAGTTCCAAATTTTTGATTATATGGACATGTTTTAAGAGTGAATTGAACAGCACATTCCTATGCCTTAAGATAGTCCTACAGTTACGACCAGAATTGGGACCAGAATTTTCATTTCTAAGCAAGCCAGTTGTTAAGGCCCATAACTGTAGGGATATTGCAACAGTTGTAAGTGTGAAGACCAATAGTAGGTCACTTTCTTCAGTGTTGTTGTAACTTTGAATGGTTGCTAACAAATTGTTATAACCTGAGGACTACCTAATCTCAAACAACTTTTAAGGGTCCAGATTCAAAATAATTTTATAATGAACACTGGAGCTGATTATCAAGCAAAAATAGCTCTAACCCTATTGGTGGATTGTGCAGGGATAATTCAGAATCTACTTTAAAATTTAAAAATTCTGAATTGAACTATAAGTTAACATAGTGAACATTCTAAGTATTGCAGGGTCCCATGGAAGCATAAAGAGTGGCAACTCTCACTTTGACTATTTCACAAATCTGGAACCCAAATTTTAATTTAAAGTCAACATTTTATACTTTTTCCCCTCATCAAAGATAGCAAAAATGCACAAGTGATATTGAAGACATTTACCTAATGCAAAGGATAAATTAACTGGAAATAGGCACATGAATACCAGAGTTGATGGGAGTTGGCCAGTATATAATGTAATAAATATAAAAGACAAAAATACAAACAAATTGTGTCACCATAGTTGTGGATATTTCCATGTAATTAATAAAGCATAATTTAGAAACTAGGACAAGTTTTGATACATGATCGGATATAGAATTCAAATACAATAGAAGAATCAAGACTAAAATGTTACAATTGAGCATTACAGGAGTCTATTTGGGCCTACAAAAAGAGCTATTTCTTAATATCAAGCGGTGTCTACATAATATTTATTTATGGTGTCAGCAATTATCTTAATAAAATCTGCAACTGAGAACATTTATCATTTGTGAGATTTTTCACTGTTATTTGGTTTTAATGGAATGAAAATGCTTGTCTTGGTATCTTTCAATACATTTCATTTGAATTATTAAATCATTTTCAATGTTATAGTTTGTTCTTTTTAGTGCAGCCAATTTTTCTTTTAAGAAAAAAAACACCTTTTAATATATCAATTGCGATCAGTTCTACATAATTAAATATATTAATCCCGGGTAAAATATGAAATAATCTATTCTGGTTATTATATCAATGTTTGGAAAGTATTTTTTAAATAAAATCAAATTCATCTTTGTATCCATAGACTAAATATCACTTTTTATCTACTGCATACAAACATTTTATATGAAAGATTTCTACATTTTTTTATATACTATCTGAATCCATAAGAAAAAACATTAGTGCCCTCAAGTGGCAAGAACTAGACAGAAATATATTTCTGTATCAAAGTTTCCAAAGACATTGTTGTGCTAGTCGAGGGAAGGAGGGATGGATGGATGGATGGATGGAGGGAGGGAGGGAGGGAGGGAGGAAGGAAGGAAGGAAGGAAGGAAGGAAGGAAGGAAGGAAGGAAGGAAGGAAGGAAGGAAGGAAATGTGTGAGAGGGAAACTTGTGGTATATTTAATGTCAATCAGTTTTGCCATATCAAAAACTTCTTATCACAGAAATAAATTCTGAACACAGAGATGTTATAAGAACATGCTGTTGGAAAAAGTGGAGAATAGAATTGTTTTGAGGTCAGGTCAAAGAGAAGCAAAATAGTTTACAGAGCGGATTGTAAATAAAATCATAGTATGTGTTCTTGTCAGTCTGGTGCAGCAAAATCAATAAAGAATTCTGTAGTCCACAATGCTTAGCAACTCTCTTATCTCACAAGATTTATAGTACTCAGATAGCTTAAATTTATGTCATGGTCTGAAGGCAAAGGAAATGGGAATGAGGAAAAACGGTTACTTTAGAGATGATCAAACATGAAACAATTGCAAT